AAGTGATATTTTTGAATAACTTAGAAAAATCAATATACACCATGTGTGCAAGGTTTCATTTAAATGTTGCGAAAGCAAATACTGTATTATTGCAACAGCTTCTGTTGATCGAGTGAAGGAATATGTTGTAATTAAAATATGACTGAGGCCTGTAGGCACGATGTTTCTGATTAACGACTACCAACAAATAAATTATGCATTAAGTTATGTGCGTCAATCGGGCATTGGCAATTTCATTATTATTACAAAAGTGTTTTTTATTTAGTTTGCGTTTGTACTTGCTAGATCATAATGAATCATGGTTGTACGAACATATCCTCACATACGTTACAAGATTTGTTAATTCTAAAACTTCAAATTCAAACAAAAAACACAATCTAATTTGGCAAGTTGTTACCATCACTTTTCATAACTGGGACTTACTAATTAAGAGAACTCATTCACAGCCGACTGTCATTCAATTGACCTCATCGAAGTGTCTCATCAGATATCCACTGTACTGTGATTATTCACACCCCTACTTGAAACCTTATGTTACATTGCATGTTTCAGACGGCCGACTAGTTCGTGTTGGAACATGGCATTCAGACAGAGAACTAAGTTTGCAGTTCCATCCGGATAATCCTGTCATATGGTCAGGTGGGACACATGTTTTATCTAAAGAGTGATCATATATGCAATTGACGTCGCCGAACATCCTAACGTTCGGTCTGGCGAAATCTACTCGTGTATTTTCTTTGAGAAAAATACATTTTTGGTTTACATGAAATTCGAACACGTGCTGAGCGACGACCAACGTCCTTTAATGCTGCTTTTCAACACTTGACAAGTGACATTTGGCGAGTCGAACGCTTCACTGTAATACGTCCCGTCATGCATTGCTATTCGAATTCTGCTTCGGCGCGCGCTAATTACAACTAACCTAGGAAGCACGTCATAGATAGTCTGCCTATAAATTCAAAATGGAGAGGTATATTAACCTATGCACGAGGCAACAGTGCGTGTTCGAATTTCATGTAAACAATCAATGTATTTTACACGCGTTGTATACGTCGCTAAGAGTCCCGTACCGGACAAAATTCAAGGACTGTAGCGCTTTAAGATACTTGCATCTCAAGATGAACTTAACAGACAACACTTCAATTCAATATTAATTTTGCACATAGTAACACGTGCGATTCGGTGACTCGTTAGAACTCTAAAATGTTGAAAATTACAAACGAATTGATGGAACTGTTCGATGATTTCATTTTCAAGAAACTTCTAACGCGGATATCTCGTCAATATCCTAGATATTGCACTAATTACAGCAAAAACATTACTTGACATTTCAAGAGCTGTAAACACAATTTTCTCACGATACTACTTGCAAGACGAATGTATCGTATTTGTGTCGCCGTGTTTCAGTTTCATATACTTGCATTTTTTGTATTACAAAATCATACTAACCATTACAACTAACTGATTTTCCAGATGGTGGCGTACCCGTAGACGGACTGACCTATATGGTGCGATTACACTACGTGCCCGTTACAGAATACGCTATTTTCTGCGGCATCGCCATTACTTGTATGATACTTGCCGTCGGTTTTCTCTACTTCAACGTTGCGCACATGACTCATCCGTAAGAATACAATGTAATGTAATGTAATGTAATGTAATGTAATGTAATGCAATGTAATGTAATGTAATATAATGTAATGTAATTGTGTATTTTATGTAACACCATGTGTTGCAGTTAAAAATTTGGCTTATAGTAACGTGAACTCCTGGAAACAAGCAGTGTCTTTGTGAAGACTTTGGTCGAATAAGCCTGCAGCGTAGCTGGCGTAATCGAACAACTATCAAGTGCACCTGAAACCCGCAAATCGTAAATCGCAATCTCCTTCTCACAGGTCTTTCCGAGAATACGCAATAGTACCTCTGCTCAAGTAGCCATGAATGTCATGGTAATTCATTTCAACACGTGCGGTCATTTGCGTGTAATGGTTTTACCTTAAGATATACAGCAAAAATAAGACCAAATTGGTTGTGACAAGCGAGCTATCTATTAATGCATTAATTTATTAATACAGAAACGTAAATACAAACAATGTTATCAGAGTCTACGTTAAGTTGTGCGAAATAACGTTACAAGAGTGAACTTGCGCATGGGAAAAGACATTAAACACCGTCTTCACTCGAATTTTCCGCGCCTTACAGACACAGCACAGAATATCAATATATTAGAATATGCAAATGAATCGTATGCAGATCTGACTTGAATCATCGATGCACGTTGTTCACGACAGGTACAAAACGATTTCAGTCTGCAGTTTCAGGTTTCTCCAGATAATATTTATGAGTCGTATGATTCTCGTATCATAAGCACAACCCATGTGTTCATGGGGAATTGTAAATTGTGATGCCACTAGGGCTACATATTGATTACCTGAGACGTGCATATTATGCAAAGTGCATATAATAACAAGAAAGTCGCACTGTCGCCACAGAATTGAGCAGACGCACTGTACTGGAGATACTGAGAATGTCAAAACTAATCAACAATATTTCATAATATTTCAATATTTCATAAACCGGTCACTGGTAGCATAGTAGTTGTCGCTCCAGGCTCATGATCGGTAGGCCCAAGTTCAAATCCTACCTTAGGCTGAACATCAAAGGGTCAACCCCTACCCTGGGTGAGTGTGTCACAGACTCAATGGGAAGGCCAATTCCACTGGCCGAGATTCATTCACTAATGAATGCGACTTTGGGGGAACCTTTGTTAAGGTCCGCAGGTGCTTGTGTTCGACCGAGCCTGGTTGACGCCAGGATAGCGCATTAAAATTGCAATTTGACAGAGAGATGGCCACAGAGCCCTGTCATGTAGTCCCAAACATGAATATAACTTCTGTGGCAAATGCATTATGTGTCAGCACTAGCACTTGCAATTTGCACATACAAAAAAAAAAGTCAGGAGAGACAACGGTGACATTCAATGTCCAGAACTGTCGCCTGGCACAAAAATATTAAAAAAAAAAATATTTCATAATTTATCAGATATCATGAGGTAAATTGGACTACTTGCCAATACAACTATTTAACACTCCTTTTACTCACCATGACCGATTGCATTAATGGATAACTGTACGTTTTTTTTTTTGGAACATTGCCATACCACTTGGAACATTCGTAGTGGTTTGTTTCGATTTCGATCCCAACAAACTGACGCTATTGAACCATTTTTACGAGTGGCGCAGAGTAGTAAAAACATCTTAGGAAATTGCGAACATGCTATCGTTAAACATTGCGTGAATCGTCTCGTCCATATTCAAATTGCTCTTGTTGACTAGCTATGTCCGCCGATATTTCTGAATTATTTTTCCGGTGGTGCGCTGTGATTGGTTAATTTGTTTGTGGCTGGTAACCGTCCATCCACCTCTGTATATGCTGTTCGGTCGATAGAGCCATCACCCTTTTCAAGACATCGCAGCATTGCAACTATCGCAATTAATTGTAACTATAGATTGCATAAAAAACACCCACTTGGCAGATTCAAACACAGTGACTTTACAAAACCAATTTCAAACGGGATATAAATATTCAAAATGATATTCAATTTTGAGCGAAGGAATCGCAAGACATGTCAAAATGGCATGTAAATATTTTAATCCTAGAAGCGTAAATCTAATCTTGTATATTTCTTGTTTTTGTAGATACATTAAAATGTCTTCTCCTCGTCTCAACAATTTAATTATATTTGGATGCATTCTGGCGTATTTTTCAATTGTTCTGTTTGGTCTGGACACCCGTGCTGTGTCCATTGATCGTTATCATATTATCTGTTCAGTAAGTATGTATTAAAGCGTCGAGTTATCGCGATGTGTCGTGTTAAATGGTGTTTCATGCAATGTAAAATTTACAGATGTAGGTACCGGGCAAGAATGAGACAAAATATAATTCGATTTTTTTTTCAATTATTTAAATATTTAATGGAATCAAGCATTTCGTAAACCACACGTCGCCGATTCGTTATCTCAGTCTCGTAGCTATGAAGAGCTGGAGTAATACAATGCCTGGGGTACTATTAATCGCTACTAAGTCGTTAATCTATCCGTTTAATGTATGCAGTCAGTAATTACTAAATTGTATATACTGGTGATCGTGCTTTAGTCATACAATTTATTGCTTTTATTGTACAGTTTGTTTTGACGTTCCCATCTAGGTTCAAGTCTGGTGCCTGTCGTTTGCCTTCACGTGTGCTTTTGGTTCGATGTTTGCAAAGACTTGGCGTGTGCATTTTCTATGGACAAGAGGACGAAAGGGTCAACGAATTGTAAGTGCCCCTTTACAGAAACAACCACCTGTATAGTGATAGTGTGTACACGTATATGCTGGAGATGCAATTATAAGGACTAGTCTACAGCAAGAATGGAGACAGGAGTAATTTTTACTCTAATTGATTAAACCACGCAATATATAATATTTATGAAAATTGTAAATTGTAATTGTTTAATTAAATCTGATGATTTTGTTCCTTCAACTGTCCTCAATTGAAAATCAATTTAAAAAGACTAGATGCCTGCTATAAGCCTGTACATATAGGACCATGAATTTGATAGCCCATTTATACTGTGTACGAGTTCAACTGAAACTGGTTTACAATGTATGTAACGCACATCAAAGCATTTGAATACAATAAACCTTTATTTCACGATACACCGGAATAAAGACACGTTGTCTCGTGAAGAGTATAACTGGAATACCTGTAATTTAGCATGTGTTTTATCAGGACGTAATAAAAAAAAATCATTTTATTTTTTTAACTGTGAATTTTAACCCTTTATATTTACTACACCAGCTCGTTACATAGTAATTTACATAAAATATTCCATATATTCAACCATTTAGTATAACAGTTGTCTTATTAATTTTTTTCTGCCACGAAGTATAATTTATTTTAGTGAGTGTGTTTTTGTAACTCACTATAGCTTGTCAATTTCGACAAAAAATGATACATGTGCTGATATTAACATTAGCTGTAACCCCTTATCGGTGTATCTTCAGTTATTTGTCGGAAATGTTCTCATAGTATGCAATCATTATCCGCATTTCGCTTATCTCATTTCGGGAAGATACTGGGGATGATTGTTTTTTTATTTGAAATTTTTCTTCAAATATGGAGTTATATTTCTTTTAACATTATCAGTTACTATATGAACAATCGTATCAATCATCAAATTTCTGTATTAATCTCAGCTGGATAGTTTATGATTCCTGACTCAATAGCTGGGAGCATTAACGTATCAACTAAAGAATCTCCGAATATATCTGTCTTCATCTGAGATCATTTTCTATCTGCTATGACATACTATATGTACATATCCGTATTATGAACTGGAGTTCACACCCAGTTGCATTTTATTACCTTACCTTATTACCTAAACAGTGTTTCGTTCACTATCTTTTCCCCTTACTTTCCCGGCACAGCATGCAGAGGTGGTAAAACACTGTCCCGTGTCGCCTCATAGCAGTCGAACAAAAACCAGAGAGGCTCGAGGCGCCTCGTGAAACCCCGAGGCGACGAGGCGAACGCACGCCAGATTATAAATGATCACTATTAATATAATCAAGGTTATTAATTACGTCAATGCGCAACTGAAATCAACTGCTATGTATATATTATACAAAAGAACTGTTTAGCAACAACTCAAACTTGTATAAGTAGGAGATTATGGCCCATAACACAAGAACATTTGTCTTGGATATGTACAATGTATGCCCTGAAAAATATACATGTCTCGCATTGTTATTTGTTAGTTGTTAGGTTTCGTACATACTTCATAAGTGCCGATCGTTGATTATGGTGACCATGCATATAGACTGTTTCGACACATTTAAAAATAGCAGTTGTGTACTAAAACTGTACTGTTATGCACCTCCATATTTTGCTGTCCACGCAATGTTCACTGGCGTTCCTTAACCCAGTAATCATCAACAGAAAGTACATATAATGCAAGCTTTACAATAACCATCCACATAAAATAAGGATGAGAAAATGGTTTTCAAGGTCAAACAACTAATTCGCATGAGTGTTTCTCACGTTATAGATGAAATCATTTTCTGAATTTCTCACAACTAGGAATATGATGTCATAATACTTTACCTATAAGCGTTTGCTAAAAAATCAAGATTGTGGGCTACATAATACTCATGAAAAGTTGGACATCTAGAGAATGAAAAGAGATATAAATACAAACTGTAAATTGCATTATCTTATATTTGACGAGTTCTTTCATCTGGCAGCATTATGTTGTTAGCCTTGACTTTTTCTTTAAAGTAATTACATTGAGCAAGTAATTTGTGTGGTGAAATGTACATTACCCTAAAAATCTGTGTACAAATAACAAATGGATAGAGCATGTATTTAGATTTAAAAAGAAAATACACAAATCTGCAAACGAACATAATTTCTTTGGATAAAAAAATGTACTTTCCCGAAACGCACGTTACCGTGACAGGGAACTGTGTGAACAAATGAAAAATTAACTAGTTTTAAAGCTTACTATAAGTTCTGTTTAACGAAAGCCATTTTAATTCAAAGATCGTCCTTAATGACGCAAGTTTGGTTTGAGCTGTGAAACAATCTTGTGGTTATAACAATGTTATGTGTTGTATTGCACGTACATTGTACTTGCTGATTTATATGCCATGTATGTAAGAACGCAGCAGTTACTGTAATTGCACAGTATATTAAGTCAGTATAGAACAGTTGTATGTCGTGCATGTCTTCGGAAGATTTAGCTGACTAACTTCCGTAACGTAATATTGCCTTCAGGATCATAGATTGTGACCATTTTCAAATAATAGTCAACAAATTGTTTTATTCTCAGCTATCAATATTCGATTATTTAGTAGCCTATGATTCTGGGCATATTTTTTTTTACTGGCTTGTACATTTTTTATTTGTGCTCATTAGTTACATTTATTTTCTGTTTTATTATTTCACCAGCTGGTGTTTTGGGACGTGTACGTCTCCCAATTCATAAATTGGATATTACAAAATACCGAAACGAACATTTTAACTGTGTTTATGTTATTCTGTATTATTAAATCATTTATAGAGAAACAGTACAAGAGTAACGTATGTTTTCACTGATATTTTAAACAAAAAAATACAATATTATAACATTGGTTACGTTTCTGTAGAGACTTGTCACTCAAACTACTACTACTTCCTGTTTATTGGTGACCCGTTCCGCTCATGATTGGTTGGTGCCGCATGAGGGCGTTTACATGCAATAACAGTCTCTCGGGCCTTACGGCCCTCGCTTGAAAAATGCATTTGGCATTTCGTTATAACGCATAGGGCGTATGAAAACTGTCGACAGTCTACTGTCTTCGGTATGTTCGTAATAATCTCATATGATGAAATGTGAATTGTTAACCTGTCCGTATTACGTCATATTACGTTATGCATCCTGCTTACAACAATGGCTGTATATCTGAATTGTCATTTTATATAGGATAATTACCCATAATTCCGCAATATTTTGTGCATCTTGAGCTAGTAATTATAGACCGTGTTCACCATTGTATTTTATACTCCCATTCTTGTAGATTGTACGATG